AGCGAGGGTTCTTGCGCTCGAGCGAGGATTGAGGGTCTTCAGGTTTCTTTCTTAGACGTAGCTTTCGCTCGAGCGAGAACTCTTGCGCTCGAGCGTGCGTCTGCGTTGGTAGCAGACCTGAAGTTTTGCGTTGTGCGCTCGAGCGAGGCCTTTTATTGTGTTTCGTCGCTCGAGTGACAACTCTTTCGCTTGAGTGAGCCTCGCTTATATCAGTTCGTAGTATAAATGAAATACACCATTTTTTACCCTCTTCTTCCCTAGAAACCCTAGATCAGCAGCTTCTCTCTCTAAAATACTCATTCTCTCCACAAATACTCCATGTTCTAGAGTCTTTCTACCCTTCTTCGTTTGTTATAAAGGTAGAGTATCGCGTGGGCTTCGTTTTGATCTGAAAAAGTTCAAGTTTGGAGCATCTTTGGTTTTCTCTCTTCTTCTCCTTTGAGCCTCTCCATTTGAGATAGGGATATTCTACTCTCCTATATGGGTTTTAACATAGATATTGTCATCTTGTATAAATGGTGGGATTTGGGAAGATTTTTGGTGAATTTTGGGTTGGTTCTTATAAATGTATAAAATAGGGGTTTTCTATTTGGGTTCCTTATGGTCATGAGAGGTCTTGAAAATGTTATGGCTTGAGAAGAGTTGAAGAAATGTGGTCTTAAGTGAAATGTTTGATAAAGGGGGAGATTTGCCCCAATTTGAATTAATTAGGTTATTTTGTATAAATAACAAAATTGGCTTGGGAATTATGGAATTGAAGGAACATGTGATTACATGGTGTAGTTGGATTAATAAATTACTCACTTATGGAAAAGTTGATAAATTATCTGTTAATAGATTTATATATCTATTTTGGGTTATCGGAAGATGATAGTCATGATTGTTGTAGAAACTGCATGATGATTAGGTGAATTGAAACTAATCAATTGGATTATGTCATTGAATATGACGGTTGGATTAAACCATTGAATATGCGTTTATTTGGTCATTATATATGACAAAGTGTTTAAATACACTGTATATGTATCTTTGTTTGGGAGGAGATAGGGGGTGTACTCCATTGTTTGGGAGGAGATATGGGATGGACTCCATTGAAAATTAAGTTGGCTGGAGTGACCATGGTGAAAGTCCCGAAATCTTATATATATTTGGGTATCAGTTCCCTCTGACATAGTTCCGTAAAATGGCAAGAAATAGAAGTGTTGAATTGATGTATGCATTGAATTGTGAACCATTGAGTTGTAGTCTCATGTTGGTTGTTTTGATAATAATGAATTTGGTTAGTTGATTTTATCCGAAACGGAAGAATAGAAGTGATTTGAGATTTTGGTTATCTATATCGAATGAACTTGAAAAGAACATGTATTGGTTAAGAATATCTCACATTTATCTGGTGCTTATGTCTTAGTTAATTTTCATATGTTGTTTAGAATATCTCTACTGGCTTTGGCTCACCCTACTTGGGACACCATTTTCAGGTATAGGTGACATGCCGCCTCCAAGGACATAGCTTGGGAGGTTTAGGGGCTGAAGGCTCCATTTTGTTGTTACATTTTGTGTTTACGCGTTTTTTTCCAACCCAAGGGCTTTAGTTGTAAAGAGCTTCTGACTTTCTTTTGTTGTAACCAAGTTATTACTTGGAAAGCTGTAAGCCCGTAGAGTAATTATTTTGTTGTTAGCAGTTAGAATTGCATGTAACATCTTTTGTAATATCGACCCTGATAAATGGAAATGTAACTTTTCTATCACATTTATAGTTACAATGAATGGATGATTTATGTCATATTTTGAGGGCGTTACACAACCACAACACATCATATAAACACCACAAATACCCACACAAAAAGAACCAAAAAAAACCCCACAAACCCAACCCCAAAACACAACATAGTCTTCTATTAGTGTGGTCCCAACATATAATCTGCCCCACATGCACTTTATGTGTCACCCAAAAAAAAAAAAAAAAAAAACAAAAAAAAAATCATAAGTG